TGGGGAAACTGAGGATAAGAAACTTGTCCACAATTACACGGCAAATCAGATCTGTCTCTAAAACCCACATTCCGCACATACATGTTCCCTGAGTACTAAGAACTAATTAGACTCGATGAGCTAGGGACCCATTGGTTCTTGTGCAAGATCATCCTAAACCTTCCCCTCCACCGTCTCTATAATGCTAGGTGATGTCAGTTATTAAGATCCACACGGTGCCTCTAACAAAATATCTTAGCAGAGAGACCTTTCTTCTGGTAAGAAAAGAACGAAATATCTTTCTTAATAAATCCCAAATTTATTTATTTATTCTTTTGAGACAGAATCCCACTTTATTGCCCAGGCTAGAGTGAGTGCCGTGGCGTCAGCCTAGCTCACAGCAACCTCAAACTCCTGGGCTCAGGCGATCCTCCTGTCTCAGCCTCTCGGGTCGCTGAGACTACAGGCATGCGCCACCATGCCTGGCTAATTTTTTTTGTATATATATTTTTAGTTGTCCAATTAATTTCTTTCTATTTTTAGTAGAGACGGGGTCTTGCTCAGGCTGGTCTCGAACTCCTGACCTCAAGCAATCCGCCCACCTCCGCCTCCCAGAGTGCTAGGATTACAGGCGTGAGCCACCGCGCCCGGCCAGAAATCCCAAATTTAAAGCACAAACACACACAACTATGGAAATCAGGTTAAACGTGCAAACTGAAGTGTCATTGGCATTCCCGGCCTGGGAGGCAGAAGAGCCCCAAGGTGATGACCACAGAAACAACATGAGACAGTCATGTGCTAGTCACACACAGCGGGGCTGCCACCTCCCAGCAAGAGTTAGCCATTGAACCCAGCTGTGACCTCCATTCTAAGAAAGCCCACTTCAGTGAGGCTGGGCTTTATTTCACCTGCTGCTCCAAACAGAGAAAGCAGCAGCCACCGCTCCCCTGCTGGCTGCATCCCTGATAGCATTGCTCATCCAGTCTGACTCCTGCAAACAGGGCCAGTAGGCTGGACAGCAAGAGCCCTCCTACCGACGCTGATACTAACTCGCCTCACATCTGTACGGCTGGAACAGTGTACGGAGGGACTTTCACATACAGCGCCTCACGTGTTTCATCCTCCCAAGAACACTGTGTGCTAGAAAGTCATGCATTCCTATTGTACAGCAGATGAGCAAATCGAGGGTGCAAGACACAGCCCAGGGAATATGGAGGAAAATGATGTGGCTGGCAGCACACCTACGTCTTCCTACCCTTAATCGTGAACCCAGATCATCCAACATCACGGCCAGAGACACAACCCCGGTTCAACTCCCCTTTCTCCTTTCCTTCCAGGGAAGAATCAAAGCCCTCTTCTGCTTTCCCAGGAAGAAAAATTGTAAGCTTTTTCTGAGGTCAGATCATCCCAGGTGGGGGATAAGAGTGTACCTGCATGAACACGGAGCACACCTGTTTACATGACAGTAGGCATTCCACGCCTGGCTTCCTGGAGACTCTTAGCCTTCATAAACAGCCTTCTCTCACTCTGCTAGAATCATGGCTCGTTCACTAATTAAAGGGTATTACGCACTTCATTGCACACCAGCTAAGAACTTGGAATAAGGAAGCTTATGCTGAAAACATTAGCCCTGGAGATGCCGCTAGGTATGATTTATAGAGACAGAAACACAGAAAAAAAGCCATCCACTTGTGACATCCCCTCCCCCATAGTCAACTTCACTAATAAGTCAGCCACAGCACTCAGAGGAAGAAGCCACCCAGCATAGTACAACCTCAGGCAGAGCCTCATAAATAAGCCAACTGGAGAGGGATGTGCAGCAGAGAGAATGAATGAGAGAGGAGGCCGGTGGCTGGCTTCTCGACAACCACCTGCCCAGGCTCTCTGCTCTCCTTTGGTGTGGGAGCCCAGGAATAAGCGTGCCTACATCCCAGGCCAAAGGGAGAGGGGTCAAAGGGTGAGTCAGGAGGAGTACTGCTCACCGCAAGGTCTCCAACAAACTTGGCATCGTGACTCCTCTAGCCGAGGCTCAGCATTGCTGCTCACCGTGACCAATTAGGTGCAAAGACCAGCCTCCCCTCTGGGGCCTCCTTGGGCTTTCCTGGAGTGGGTCTCCTTTCTGACACTCCCGGAGCAACTTGGAGAGCAGCCCCAAGGCTCCTTTTCAATACTTGGGAAAGTCATGCATAGAGGGACAGTCCAGTGCTCAAATAGATCAGTCTTGAACTTGATGAGTATACGCCACCAACTGAAAAATAAACCTTATCCAGAGGCAACGTCCCTATTTTGGAGACATCCTAGAGAGATCAAAGCTCAGGTAAGGCTTTAAGTCCTGATCTTTGGCTTCTTGGGCCCCCCAGCCACTCAAATGATGGGCCGAGAATAAAACAGCAGCCTGGGGTCAAAACACCTTTACTTCTAAATGGAACTTGGACATGAACTCAGAGGAAGCCACCAGTTGGTCATGCAATAAGGAGGACGCTAGAGAAGTCAGTCCCAGGTCTGCCACCCATTACAGTTTCCCGGTGTGTCACCCTCTCTCTGTTGTCTGCGTGTTCTATGCATGTTCTGGCAGACAGAGGAACAGCTGAGCGCACCCCCAAGCTGCATGGTGCAGTGGTGAGGCCGAGCACCGCCGGGCGCTAGGAAGCACAGGTGGAATATAGTGATGCTTTCAGCATTTTCCCCATCTCTCCCCAAGCCACCTAAGTCATCATGCATGTGTGACATGGTTCAGGATCCTGTTTGCTCCGTTTAGAAGGGCTTCCAATGCTGCCGGTCCCTTCCCCCGGCTCAGTCTGCTTTGCTCTTTAGCACACACTACTGCTGATTTTGCCGTGCTCTTCCTCACGATGTTTAAAAGGGAAGATACAAAACAGCTCCCCCAAGAAACAGAGCTCTGGCACACAGGCTGTGGGAGGCAATGCCCCGGCACTCTGGGCTGTTCCAGAATCAGAGACAGCCAGCAGCAATCACAGAGGCTGCAGGCAGGCACTGCTTGTCGATTTAAAAGAACCTCAGAGCAAGAGGCTGGTGAGTCTGAGAGGGGGTGGGGAATGGATGCACCACGGGAAAGGTAAGGAATGTCTTAATTAGGCAGAGGTCCCCAGACGAGTGCTGATGTCACAGCCCTGTCCCTTCGCAACTGCTGCACCTGCCATCCCGAACTTGGAATTGCATTTTGGCTCAAGGCTCTGAGACTCAAAAGCTCTCAATTCACCCTACAGCAACTATGGGAGCAGCAGCCACCCTGGACTTCTGGGGGGGGGGCCCATGACCCCTGATGCCTTGGACTTTCCCAGCAGCAAGGAAGAGTGGCAGCTGCTGTCTGACCTGTTACGCCGAGTTATGCCGAGCAGCCCACTAATTGGGCAGAGAACCCGGCAGCAAGGGCTCTCATCTCATCCTTCCCTCTCTGCCCCTCCAGCCAGCCCCTTCCCCAGCGTGAGCCTCAGCCCCCTGCGCTTTTCCTCTTTACTCTGCTCCACACTCCTCCTCCGGGCTTCCCAATCCCACAGCTGTGCGCCCCCTCCCCACACCACTCCTCCTGCATCCACGTCGTTAAGCAATTACACAGAGAGAAAACTGAGCCTCTGACTTTCCAGCTTAAAGCTCCCAGACACGGCAGCCAGGACCGCCTCGCCCTCCCGGGCATCTCACTGACGGTCCTGCACGCGCGCCCTCACCCGGACCCTCCTCTCTACCCGAGCACTCTGGACATCTCTTTGCTCCAACCTGTCAGCAGCTCAGATGGAGCCCTGGGGTCCCCGGCCTCTCCTCTCCCCACATGGAGCTCAGAATCCACCCGGGAAAAGGAAGCAAAGAGACTTCCACACCTTCGCAGCATCCGCTGCTCCAGCCAGCAACCAAAGCCGCTGGAGCCATGCAGGCTGCCTGGGGCCCCACACCCCCTTCTCTGACGGCTTTAGCTCCAGCCCAGCCCACAGGATGCAGTGCCTGATGCCACTTCCGAGCAGAGAGAGACACAGGCAGAGAGAGAGAATGCCAGCTCGTCAATGACAAGCTGTTCCAATCACACAGCTCGGACACCAAGCGCCCCAGACAACGGACAACCCAGGCCTCCTCCCCCTGGCTGGGAGGAAGCCAGCTAGGCACGTCTAGGGACGTGAGCCCCCACGGCAAGCCCCCCACTCGCCCTCCGTGTCTGAGCTGACAACAGTGCTCCAAGTGTGGCAGGCAGCCTTTGCCACCACCAGCTCCCACAACTCCGGCCAACTACCCTCTTGGCCTGCAGCTGAGGTCCTGCTCTCTCTCCTGTTCCAAAGCACAAGGAGACCCCAAACCCAGCAGAAGACCGCCGGCGCATCACCTCTCCAGAGGACCAAGCACGAGAGTGAGCTGAAAACCAAGTACTCACGGTGGTGAAGTCTTGGTGGCCGCACTCCTGCCCTTTGAACTTGCAGTAGAGCATCATATCCTTGAGGTCGTGGCCCACCCGGTGCAGGAACTCCAGCATGCTGAACTGCTTGGGCTTGTAGTGTTTGAAGTTGGCCTTCTGCCTCAGGGCCTCCAGCACATTGGGGTCGGCCAGGTGTGGGTCCGGGATCTGCAGGTTGACGTCCAGCAAGGCCAGCAGCTCCCCGGCGTGGTACAGGTCATTGGTGGTGAGCCTGGAGAAGCGGAAGCCGTTGAGGTTGCAGAGGGTCACGGCCGGGAAGACCAGGCTTTGGGCCACCACCTCATCCACTTTGGTGACGTGCTGGTAGGAGAAGTAGTAGGACACCCTCTCGGAGCTCTCCACCAGCAGCAGGCCCAGAGAGCCCACGAAGGCCACTGCCCAGAGCACGCGCCGGAGGGTCAGCGGCCCGTACACGAAGATGTGGCGGATGCCATGGAGGGTGGAGGTGTTGGCAAAGATCTGGATGCTAGAAGGTTGCAGGCTGCCCTCGCTGGGGCTCTCCTTGAGGTCCATCGGGACCCTGTGCAGTTCCGCAACTGGCTTCAGGTTAATCAGATTTCAGAGAAGAGTTCTCCTCCGTCCTCCCTCCGGCTCTGCCCAGACCTTGGCGTTCAAGGCAGAGAAAGCCAGGCAAGCATCAGGCCCGACGCTGGGAGTTCATCCCGGGAGCCCAGCCGCACGCTGACAGGGGTGAGTGTTTATATAAAACCCATTCAAACTCTAGCTCCTGATTTTTTCCAGGCGATAAGGAGGGCTGGTTTTATTTAGGGAGACACCAAGGTGATGTGGAAGAGATGTGGGTGGGAAGGGAGGGCTTAGCCAATGGAAATAAAGTCCTCCCCCCTACACACGCCACTAGAGACAAGATTAAAAGCGAGAGCGAGGGAGAAAATGCTTAAAACAAGTCGCCGAGCAGCTCGCAGCCTGTTAACCAGTGCATAATGCCCCGTGTTAACCACCCTGGGGACGCCGGGCGGGCTGGCTGATGCACTGCGGTCGCACGGCCCCGCGAGCCGCCGCCGCCGCCGCCGCTCCCCGCTCTCCGAGCCGGCCTGGACTCCGGCTGCCGTGCTCGCCGCCGGCCTCCGTCCCTCCGCCCCTCCTGCTCCAGCCCCCAGTTTCGGGCAGAATTCCAAATGCCGGCGGCCGCGGCGAGCGCCCCGGAGCGGAGGGAGCGCTGCAGCCGCCGCGAGGCGAGGACCGGCCCCCGAGACTGGGCGGGGACGGAAGCGGGGGTCACCGGGGGCTCTGGGCTCCCCGCCTCCCGGGAGGAAAGGGACCCCTCCAGGGCGCCCGGCCAGCCCTGCTCCCTCGTCCCCGCCCCCACCAGGCTGCTGTGGGGGGAAGGGCGGGGCGGGAGAGAAGGGGCTGGCGGGGGCTGGGGACCTGGAGAAAGTTTCTTTTTGGCCGTTTTTTTGGGGGGGAGACAGCGGGGGAGGGGGGCGGTGAGGGGGCTTCTCCCTCCAGGTGGACGACCAGCCCTGGAAGTTGCAGGACCCCCCCCCAACCCCTACCATGGCAGGAAGGCCCTTGCTAAACTCCCATGAGCCAAGTGTGTGTGTGGGGGGGGCAGCGTTCCTCAGCCTCAGAGGGGACCCCCCAGGTCAGAGCAGCTTGGGGTCTCCAGCGGGGAAAATGCTGGAAATGGGGGAGGCAGGGAGCAGAGCGCCTCTGCTGTGGGCAGGGAGGGGACATTGGGGAGCAGCGGGGAGCCCCTCCTCCTAGACAGAAAAGCCAGGTTGCCCCTTGGACCCCCCAGAGAAAGAGCAACAAGTAGCCCCCATCCCCACATAGCTATTAGGAGATTCTGTATTTGAAAAATAAAGGCAAGTGGGATTCCAGGTAGGGCAGGCTGCAGCTCGTTCCATTTGGGCAGAGTGTGTGTGTGTGTGTGTGTGTGTGTGTGTGTGTGTGTGTGTGTGTGTTTCTGTCCCTGCATTTACCAGATGGAAGCACAGCTGGAACTATAGGTGGAAGCCAAAGAATTAGGCTTTCAGCTGCCTACCTCCTTTTTTCCTGAAAATCCCCTGGAAGTCAGCCCCTGCTGGCAGGTGGGGGTGGCTTGCCCCTTGCCCCTTGCCAGGGCTCCAATAGCTGGAACCTAGTGCATCAGTGACACTCCATCTCCATCAGGAGGAAAGGAACAGAAAGTCGCAGTGGCCAACCCAAGCCACAGTGCCAAGCTGGGGCAGAGCCACATGGAGACTCCCTGAGGAGCCAACCTCACGTCTCCAGGGCATGCCAGGCTTAAATAACGCTCCTTGGAACAGGGTTGGAAAGAAGGAATCCCAGAGCAAGCAGCATGTCCCTCTAGGTTTAGATCTACTCCGAAATATTTTTCTATCCCATCTGGCCTCCTGCTAAGCCAGACCCACTGAGAGTAGTGTGCAGATGCACTCTGAGCCAACCTGTAGCATTAAATCAGTGGTGTATTGATCCCGGGAGCTCAAATAGCAGAAACATCACGAGTAGGCACAAATGGCACAGGCCCATCGACCTCACTCACCTGCTAGCCTGGAGGTCCCAGACCCCTGCCTGCAGGGCTGCTTAGATGAGACTCAGGTTTTTGATGCAGAGGGACCAAAATTATCTAAAGGGTCTACCATGTGTCAGGAGCTGTGTGAGGGTGTCATATCATCTCACTTATCCCTCTCCCACCTTTTTGACAGGTCTATGTTCTTGTTATTACCCCTATTGTATGGAGGAGGAAACTGGGACTCAGGAAAGGAAAGTGCTATGCCCAGGTCACACGGCTAGTAGTGGTGTCGGAGCTGGGACTTGAACTCAGGCACGTTTGCCTCCCAAACGCAGGTGGAAAAAGCAGATCCGAAACACTGCTTTCCAAATCTAAGAAGGGAGCAAGCATTTCCATGCCTCGTTCCCCATTACACACACGCACACACACCCCAGTTCCTCACTCGAATAAAGCAGCTCTACACCTTCTCCCCACCAAGCCACATCCCTGTTGTCCATTTCTTTCACAGCTCAAGGCCCCCTCGTACAGGAAGACTTCCCAGATTAACCTCACAAATCTTTGGCTCATCCGCCTGTTCAATAAGCACGTTGACCTCTAGCTCTGTACCAGGAGCTGTGTTGGTTTTTCAGAAACAAAGGTGGAGGGAGTACTTGGCCTGCCTTTGCTAACTCAGGGTTCAGCGGGGTGGAGGCAGAGAGACAGGCACGCACACCGGTCCCTGCACCTCTGCACAGACAGCCAGAGAAGCAGCATGGTCGTGGGTTCCTCGTATTCATGGTGGGGCTGATAATGCCCAACTCATAGAGCTGCTGAGCAAATGACATGAGCTGTAGATTATAAAGCGTCTGATACGATTTAGACACTTAGCCATTGACACTTTTTCTTGATGACTACTCAGAGAATGTTCTTTTGCGATGCTGGTGTTCTCTTCCAGGTGACTGGGAAGCCATTGAAAGCTCTGGAGGATGTCACTGTATGCCCAAAAGTGTTACCATCCCCTCCTGTAGGCCAACATCAAGCACACTCCTCACTCTGCTCTGCTTCCTGTCCACGGCCTTAAGGTCTTCTGAAGTGGCTCTTGATTAAATCTTTTCCAAATGGGCTAGGCACTTTGGGGTGAGGTTGGGAGACCAGAAGAGAATGGCCCTAATGGTGAATTTCATTCCTGGGCACTTGGCTCTGTGCTTGACGTTTGACAGGACGTTATCAGTAACCCTCAGAGGAGGCTACTCCCAAGCCCATTTGACAGATGGGAAAACAGAGTGCAGAAGGGAGAGCTACTTTGCCCAAGGTCCCACAGCTAAAAAAGTAGCAGAGCTGATAGTCAGACCCAGGCATGTCTGAATCCGGAGGATACGGTCCACAGCCTTACTACAAACGTTCCAACAAGGTCTCAACAGCACAGACCATTGTGGCATCCACTTTGAACATGAAACATTTCAGTTATAGAATATTCTCCAAGAAATACTGCTGTACCATTTTCTAACATACATAGCAATTCAACCTGGTGGTTAATAAAATGTTTCTACATAGCTCTTCTTAAGGGCCCTCTTTAACTGGTAAGACTGATTTGCAATTAGCAGTATGGCTTACATACAAATATTAGATATTCCATGGTCCTCAAAAATGCTTTTATGTTACTCAGTTGATTAAACATTCCCCTCTTCAATCAGATTTACGATACCTATTTGCTTAGCACTGTGGGTATGTGTAGTGGGTATCAGAGATTGGGTTTAGAGTGGGTCTATTCAGCCCAGATTTTTAGGCACTGCCCTAATTAAGTATCATTATGGTCTTTTGGGTGAAGTGTATGTATGACTGAACGTTAAAGAACGTTCCAGATAAACTTATTTGCAAATCAGGCCATTTAACCACCTATTAGACCACATGCCCAGATTTTTGCTGTGATAGATTTATTCGCCTATGAATAAATCAGTGGACTCAGGGACCAATTCATTGTCTATGACACTGAGGCTGCAGCTCTGAGAAGCAAAGAGGGGGCTCCTCCTCCAGCTCCAGTGACCTGGGGCCTGCCCCGGAGCCTGATTGCTGCAGCAGGTCAAGAGTGCAGCTTCCTGCCTCTGCAAGCAGCAACAGGCAGGAGAGATAAGGAAGCTGAGATCTAAGGTAAACTCGGCTCAAATGCTAATTTGCTACTTAGCATATGCTAGGTGCTGCCACACCACCACCTCCTAATTAGGGGAAAAAAAAAAAAAAAAAAAAAGAAGACCAACATTCTTTTGTAATATACAGATGACATTGTTATTTCAGACTTGGTGGCCTCATAAACAAGGGTTCCTCCTGGCTCATCATTACCATAAATGGGGGGTTAAAGATCAACTACTGTAAAACCAAAGCACTTTTCTGCTGTTGCTTAGTGTTGAAAAGAACACTTCACATAACAACTATTTCTGTTTGGTTATCTCGGCAAACACTTAGCAAATAATTTGTCGTGAAAGAAATATCAGGGAGGGGGCTGAAGCAAGGCCAGGCATTTTGTGGGTGCTGCACTGGGATTCCACCTAAAGTTGCTGCTTTTCTTTCTAAGGGAAAACTGCAGAAGCCGGTCTACCCCCAGTGGACCTTTTTGGGGTTCATATGCCAGCTGATCTGAGCCCTGGAGTGGACTTACCTTGCTGTGTGGCTTCAGGAAAGCATGCAACATCTCTGCAACGTCAGCATTTCCTCCTCCGTGCTAAGTCATTCCTGAGGCCTCCTCCTGCTGCTGAAGTTTGACACGGGCCTTGACCAAATCATAAATGCAGGTTTAATGGGATAAAAATGAGTTAGAATCTGGGATTCTGGTCATTAACCCCATGTCACCATCTGCTGGAGCAGTTTGATGACAGGGCCAGGTGAATTCTAATCACCCAACACTTGTTAAACATGCAGATTCCTGCTCCATTTCCCCTTCCTGCACCCCCTATGACTCAGCTTCTCTAGGGGTGGGGCCTGGGCAGGCTCTTTTCCTCAATGGGTTTATGGAGGGCAGCTCGAAGACCCCACCCAGGACCAGACATGCCCCCAGTCTGATCAGGAGCTCTTCCCATTATCAGCCATGCCAGGTTGGTTTGTGGAGCTTTGCATTTGCATTTCCCTCTGCCTGGAAGGAGTTCCCAACAGCTGTCTTCTTCCACTTCCACGTCACCTCCCCTGAGAGGCCTTGGCTGGCCTACCTGTCTCCACCCCACTCACTGCCCTATTATATGTTGCCTTTTCTTTTCAGTACTAATCATTTTCTGCAATTCGCCTCTTCTCCTTGTGCCGTATGTATTGGTCTTAATGGAACGGAAGCCCCCACCCTCGGGGCAGAGACCCTGCCCGGCTCGTTGGAGGCTGTGTCCCCAGCCTGAGCCAGTTGAGAGATGCTGAGTAATACAAAAATTAATGAATAAATGAACACATGAATGGATTCACTCATCTCTAATGCTGAGGCTGAGTCTCTGAGATGCAAGAGTGGAGACCCTCATCTCACCCTGGGGAACCTGGGGCCTGGGCTAAGCCAAGTTCCAGAAGAAGGTGAAGGATACCTCCAGCCTCTCACCCCTGTCCCATTGTCACCCCAGCACCTGGAGAAGCCCTAACAGTAGGGGTGTGCGCACCTAGAGAATCTCAGCTTTAGGTTATTGGACTGGAAAACCCTGACTTGGGGGCTGTTGACTAAGCACCCCTTAGCTTCATACTCTACAAAAACACGAGTGCAGGTGAAAATTCAGGTTAGGTATGAACTGAGGGCTGCTTACCTATCCTATTAAAGAGTAATTTTTCTTCACGTCTTCTTTGCGTGGCCAGCTGATCTTGGCACTTCCCATACTGGCTTCTCCCCACTTTCCTAATCTAATAGGGTAAGGATGTCATAAAGCATTATTATAACTTAAATAGTGGGTATTTTAATAAACACTTGCTGGTGTGAAATAAGCAATACAATCTACAAGAGGAACTCCAAACAGTCCCTTACCCTCAATGCATTTTTTTTCACAAGCAGAAATTAGTTTCTAATGAGCCCTCACCGTTTAGTATGAAATCAGTAGCTTTTAATGTGCTCTTAGTTTGTTTGCTTTGATGAGACCTACAGTTCCTTAGTCATGTAAGAGCTGACTCCCTCCCTGTAGGCTAAAAGGAGGAGGCTTCTGGATCAGGCCTGGCCACATCCGTTTTATCCCCAAAGGCCTTTAAGCCAGTACCTGTGTATGAAGACACAGACGTTCTCTCTTCTGTAAACAAAGCAGACCTGCCTCAAATCTTCCCCCGTGGCTATAAGAAGTTACCCAAGACCAAGAGACCCTGATTTCTGATTTTATTTCATGTCATTTCCCTTCCTCAAGGATGTCAAAGTCCACCCCACCGACCCCTGTCCTGTCCGCCCTCTGTTGGATGTTTTCTTTCTCTAAATCGTTTTTTATTTTTGTCTCTCTATATATGTCTTCCTTTGTCTGCTTCTGCCCCTCTTTCCCTTGGGAGAGAAGTAGAAGAAAGAAACCGTCTCTGTTTGTTTTCGCTCCGTCACTCACTCTCTGGAGGCAAGCGCTTCACAAACAAGGAGGAACGCACGGAGTGGCTGAAGCCCACCGCCCACAGACAGGCTTTCAACAAGAACTTTATTAGCACCACCCTGGCCACAGGTGAGCCGGCACTCCATAGAAAACAGGGAGGGAGGGCTGGTCCTGAAGAAGTTGGTCCCTGCCTGGCTTCTGAGTGGAACTTCCTCTCCCCCTTGTGTTCTACACGTGCGGTTACAGCTGCTTTTGCTGTTTAGGGACCTGTGGTTGGCCGTGGTGGCGTTTTAGCATGCTTTGATCACCGTGCTTAACAAACAACCTCCTTCACTCGTGACCCCCCCCCCACCTTCTTCTAGCCGTGCCCCGCACCTGCTCCCCCTCTGTCCATCTCTCTGCTCTTTAAAAACTGCTTACGTGTGTACAGATCTCAGTGTACTTCCTTTGTGCACCCATTCGCATTCGATGACTTTTCTCTACCTCCTGTGCAAGTAGTTGTGTATCCATTTTAATTCAGTTTCTCTAGTCCCTAGCTCTTTCATAAAACAGAATGAAATATAAGTAAGAAAATAGAAATAAGAAAGAGAAAAACAGGACTGAGGAGGGAAAAGGAGACGTGCATCTATGTTTGTAAGCATGTTCATCTTTTCTCGTGCATCGATATGCATTCTGTTACAGACTCATTACAGGTATCTTAACGTGTAGGCGCTGCATGGGAACGGCGGCTACATGCCACCTATATGGTGGTAGGCACTACGGCAGGATATACAGAACGTAGAAAACATAGTCTTTGCATCTCATGCAGAGACACTAATAATGTCTTGAATCTCTGTCCCATTTGATGTGAAACTCTTCAGCAAGCACGATCCCATTTGATTTCCATAAGCAGAGGAGGGGCCGCTGTTTCCATGTCATGAAAGCGGAAACTGAGGTTCAGAGGGTGGAAGATCTTGATGACATAATATGTGGAACTGGGCCTCAAATCCTGGTTTTCTGACTCAAGATTTTACATTCTTTCCATTCTGCCGTTATTCTAATCAAGGTTCTCCGCAGACAGCTCACAGGGGCACAACACGTGAAGCAGCGTGGTGACGCCATGCCCTGGTCATGGTGAGAAGATCTGGCTTTAGGGAAGAGGAATTCCAGAGGGCCGGAGAGAGCAGAGAGAGCATCAGGGAAGGGCTGGGGGTGGAACTGGAGCCTGCAGGAAGCTACAGGACTTGGCCACATAGTGCCAACAGGGAGATCCCTTCAGCCCCCAAGTGTCCTTGCATGTGTCCATTGAAAGGACCAAAAATGAGACACCAGAGGCCAGGTTTCAAGAGCTTATGGTTGAAGGCGTGAGAATAAGGTAAATGTCTTTCCCTGTCTCTGTGTAAGTATAAATACTGCGTATACATATGTATATGAGTCCCTTTTTTCTCTGTCTCATTATGCATGCAATTTAGCAAAGATTTATTTCCTAATTTTGGTCTTCACACTTTGCTAAAGCAATGTGGGAGGATACCAATAAGTAAGGGACGTCACCTCATTGCCCCCAGAGATTCCTGAGGGCAGGCAGGGCAAGGTGTCTGTGCATACTGCAGAGAGAGCACTGGGTTGGGGACATCAGGAGAGATGACATTGGAATGTCCCACTCAGTTCTCCGTACAGATTGGATCTTCATGGAGGGAAGGACATCAGCATACATTGGGAGCCAACATTCCATTCAGTGTTGTGTGGATATTCTACCCATTTCACAGACAAGGAGACTAAGGCTTCAAGAGGGTAAGTGACTTGCCCACACTGCCACTCTTGTTGTGGGAACCAGCTTCAGGAAAAAGTCACTGAAGCAGGCTGCTGCTCAGGTGCCTGTGAGGCCGTGGAGTGCTGAGTTTAAATCCTGGACCCAGCCCACACCAGCTGTGTTCATTGAAGCATGCTGTTCAACTTGCCTACACCTTGCTTTGCTCATCTGTAAAATGGGAACAGTAACGGTGTCCACCTCATAGGGCTGATGGGAGCATCTGATATGTTAAAATGTGTGAAGGACTAATAAGTGTCTAATAAAAGCTTGATAACTATAAGATGCCATTATTAATAGCATTGTTATAATTGTTACTATTGTCTAAAGGAGACCCAGGTGACATGAAGCTACAACTTGTAGATTTGTGCTCTTGAATCAGGGTTTGAGCATGAGTGTCAACATGCAGTGGCATTTAAGTATTCATGAGCCAGGGTTCATCTAGGTCTCATGAGATGAGGAAGGGACTCTCACCAATGAGTTCAGGATCCTTTTCCCCGAGATGGGTAGGGAAACTTTGCTATAGTCATTTACACCTTACTAAGCATCTCTCATGTATCAAGCTTTCTGCTAGCTTGTAAGGATATAATACTCATGTTTCCCCAAGCTCTGGTCCAGCTCCTACCAGGATTTAGCTGGACCTCTGTTTTCTCCTAAGACAAGCACAGAAGCCAGATGACTCCTGCGGTCCCTTGTAGACTTAGTCCTTGGTGGTTCTGTGAACAGTCACTCTCCCAAGATCTGTCCCGGAGAAAAGTGAGCAGTCTTCCCAGGTTGGGAGATCCCAAGACTCCCACTCGTTCATTCTAAGTGTGCTCCTCTGTGAGGACTGGGGGCATGGACATCTCCAGCCAGGGCCAGGTGGTCTTGGAGGACAAGCTCCTTACCCCAGCCACTCATCAGTGCCTCCTGCAAGGGCCAGGTGGTCTTGGAGGACAAGCTCCTTACCCCAGCCACTCATCAGTGCCTCCTGCAAGAGCCCCACCTTCCTTCCTGAACAATCGACTATACTGTCAATTGTTCATCTGTATATCTCTACAAGCCCTGCAGCCGAACTGCCAACCACTTCTAAAGCAGCTATTGATTTTACTGACCATAATGGAGCCTGTTCTGTGTGTAGTCACAGCACTAAACATCAGGAGTCATTCAAAGAGGAATCAGGCTAAGGCCTTTCATGCATGGAGCTGGCCGATGGATGAGCCAGACAGACACGCACACGCCCCTCGTGGGGGAACAGGTCTGCGGGGGAGCTGGCGGGTGCAGGGCACCGGGAGTGGACTGGGAATGGAATCAGCACCTGGGTTCCCATCCTAGTGCTGGAGCTGACATTGAGGCATTCCATCATTCTCTCCAGACACAGCCAACTTTATTCCTCAAGGTAGACATTTATTAAGTGCCAATAACTGTGCCAAGAATTGATATGCATTTATATTAGTTAATGGGAGGCTCTCAACCTCAGCACTGTTGACGTTTCGAGCTGGATGATTCTATGCTGAGGGGAGCTCCACTGCAGGATGTTTAGCAGTGTCCCTGGCCTCTTCCACCAGATGCCATCAGCACCTTCCCCCAGTACCCAGCTGTGACAACCAAGAATGTTTCCAGACATTGTCGGATGTCCCCTGGGGGCAAAATCACCCTCCACTGGGTTGAGCACCACTGAGTGAATCCTAATATAGACCAGCGATGTGGGTACAATTATCATCTCCACCTTACAGCTGTTCGTTCTGTAAACTGAGGCACAGTGAGGCACATTAAATCATGTGACCCAGGTCATACAGCTAGGAAGAGCCGGGAGCAGAGCTAATTGGTTTCCACAGCCCACAAGCTACTTACTGCAATGCCTATCTCTGCCTATATGGTGGGACTCCGTACTGTTCAATAAGCCCATGCAAAGGTGGGTCAGTCCTTCCTTCCTTCCTTCCTTCCTTCCTTCCTTCCTTCCTTCCTTCCTT